CTATTCTGGGCAAAGGATAACTATCTTTTTTAGTTACCGAATTGAGCTGTCGGTAGTCAATACAAAAACGTGTTGAACCATCTTTCTTCTTTACTAGCACTACTGGTGATGTCCATGGACTGTTTGATGGTTCAATTACCCCTTGTTTGTTCATATCTTTGATGATGTCTTCGGCTTCATCTCTTTTCGCAAATGGAAGTCGTCTAGGTTGTTGTCTGATTGTTGGCTGAGCGTCTCCGGTATTAATTTTATGCTTTACTATGCTTGTTTTGCCATTATCCTTCTTATCAATGGCAAAAATATCTTGAAATTCTATCAGCATAGACTTCACTTTTTTAGTTCGTTCATCATCAAGATCTTGGCACGTTTTATTCATCGTCTCAACAAGCTCCTTTGGATACTTAGATTTCGACGGTTTCTCATTAGTACTCATGGAACAAATCGAAGCCACGGGAACACACTGTCCGATCAAAGTTCTTTTACTTAACTTAATAGCAGTTCCCTTTAAATTCATAACTCTTACAGGAACGACATCTCGAATTTTCACCAAAGCTTTTACCGTTAGGAACTCGGCATTGTTCACATCTTCGACCATCCTTAAACTTCCCTCTCGGCAGTAACCATCAGGTTTGGTCATCAAAATTTTCTCACTATTACCGGGTATTGTTACGTCACAAGTAGTTATTAAGCTGATAACATCTTCTTTGTCTTCATGAAACGGCAACTCTTCACCACCGATCTCGAGAACTCCATCTTTGACATTCAATACAGCTCCAACTTTCCGTAGTAAATCCATCCCCAATATGAACTCGTCGGAGATCTCTGCAATTAATACTCGATGTTTCACTGTGGTCTGGCCAATGGATACTGACATATTAGCCTCGCCATATGTATTAATTATCTCACCAGTTGCTGTTCTAAGCTTTACTGTTGCAGGCGATAATTTAAGATGGTTTTGTACTACTTCTGGCCGTGCTATAGTTCTTGTTGCACCTGTATCTACCAAAAACGATATACATTTATTATTAATACGACCTTCGATGTACAAGCTATGAACTCCACCGGAGGACGTAATGTTAACAGTTACTATGGGGGCTGTGTTTCTCGAGGTCGGCAGTTGCCCCTTAGTGTCGACCCGTTCTAGTTTTCCGACCGTTGTATCATTTTCTTGCAATTACGGCGAATGTGACCTACGTCACCACAATTCCAACATCTGGGCTCGCGTCTCTTCGGCATCGTATTATGAACTATTTTTCGTACCATTTCTTCTAGACGTTCATCGTTTGTTTCGTCGCCTTCTTCAATAGTTCTTACTCGATGGCTCCATGAAGTTTGACTAGCTGTTTCATGTTCTAAGGCAATAGCGAGCGCTTCATCTAGAACTTTCGGTCTTGCTAGTCGTAAAGCTTTCTGTAATTCACTTTCTTTTAACCCATTGACGAAGGTATCTACGGCAATTTCTTCCAAAATGTTGTCTGGTACCTCCGGATAAGCCAACCGTACTATACGAGCAACATCTGCTTCAAACTCTTGCAAATTCTCACTTGCTCGTTGAGTTCTACTTCTTAGTTGCGCCTTGTAGACTTGTTGTAGATGGGCATCTCCGTAACGTTTGTCTAGTCGAGTGAACAAGGTCTGGTAACATTTTTCTTGACCCTTAGGAATCGATCTTAGGATATCTGCAGCATCACCTCGTAAAGCAGCAGTCAAGGAAACAGCTTTTTCTTGTTCTGTCCAATGATTGGCTGTCGCAATAGCTTCAAATTGTCTAAGGTATCTGGACCAAGAGGACTTTCCATCAAACGGTGGCAATTTGAATCTCATATGATGTGTCGTTTCGTCTCTCGGTGATTCTTCTTTTACTACCGGATCTAAGGCTACTTTATTAACAGGAGGTAGCACTTTTGTGTTAGTTATCATGATCTCTAATTGTTTGATCTTCTCTTCTACGTCTTCTATCTTGTCGTTTACATTTTTCTGTATCTTATCGAATGTTCTTGAGACTTCTTCAAATTTCTCATTGTTTTGGTTACATACTTCGTCGAATCTTCTAGACATATTTTCGAATTTTTCGTCGTTTTGTCTAGCTGTTTCTTTAATAATTTGAGAAGTTTCTTCAATAATCATTTGCGACTCGTTTTCAAATTTCTCATTCATTTTTGTTAAAACTGTTTCTTCTGCTGATTGAAACTGGAATGTCTCTGGGTCATCTCCATTCTTATTAAGAACATTCTTTAGTCGTTCTTGGAGGATCTTCTTGGACCCGCTGCAATCTTCATCGCGTTCTTCTAGTTGCTCACGCAACTGTTTTACGGAAAGTTGTACTAGCAGCATCTTTGGTCGGGCACACACGTACTTTTGGTTCTTTCGTACAACGATCACTACCGAACTACGCGGATGTTCCCGACGAACAATACTCTTCAAAAGTTCAAAAGTCTCTTTTTTTTCACTGTTGACTTTATTTTTAAATAAATCAATTGTCCTCCCACGGTGACACCAATTGTAGCGTTTTTAAATAAAACGAGCGGTTCGAATTTATATAAATATATTTATTTATAACTTTACAATTCGGTACTCTCTTATCAACTAAACTTAACTCCTAATTCCGTTACATATATATATACCAAAGTATTATGTTCGAGAATATTCGGGACTAGTCCCACCTCTAATTCGTTATTTGACGGGTGGAATTTTACAGCGCTTTGATATATCGCGGAAACTTCTGGGTGCTTCGAGATGCGACCATTAGGCGAGCCGCGTTCGTAACAATAATACTGATGTTTACAATATATTTTTAATTTACCTCTAGGCGAAGTACTATTTTGTTAACAAATGCAATAGGTCAATACTTAATAACTTCAAGTAGTCAAATACATTATCGTGGCTGAATGGATTGAGTTTACCCAAAGCCATTAATTAAAAAAATAACAATATATTCAGAAATAGTTTTATCTACGGCATACAGATACTCGATAAATCGATGTTTCGCTAACCCTATACGAAGGGGGTGTTAGGATGAAGCACCGGAGTAGGAGTCGCTAACTTTTTGCATCTTTCTTGGGGTCGTAAACTTGAAATTTTCAGCAAAATTCAGCTTGTTTGAATGATTTTTAGAGTTCAAATCTCTGCCAACGGACTATTTATTTATTTTGTAATAATTATATGGGCTTTAATAACATTATTTGTCTATTTATTTATTATTAAAGACGTTTATTTAATGGGTATATATTTCAGTCTGTTTTTTACAAAAATATTTCAAAAAATTACCGAAAAAATATATCGATTAAAATACCTCCATAAAAATTTTTATTTTATCTACAGATAAAAATATCTCACCAAAAAAACAATATCTAATATTTGAAATATAACTTGACTTGACTGAATTACCCGTAAATAATACATTATCAATGTGCATGATAAAATTCGCGGTAATAAATAATATAAGGATTTATATTATTTTCGAACGCCAAAGGAAAGTTTATCAAACAACTGACATTGGCAAAAACTCCTTTCAACCTCAACCACACAAGATAGCGATGGGTTGCCTGCTATTTACACTATTTTATATAATGTCTATTACTGAACTTTGGCTATCATATTGATTATCATCAAAAAATAAGGGAATCCCCATTAACGGAAGATACTTGAACCATCTGAGATACGCAGATGATGTAGTACTAATAGCCGATACGTGGAATACACTGACAACAATGATTGAGGAGTTACACACAGAATCACTAAAAAAAGGACTGAAAATGAATTTCAGTAAAACTAAACTAATGTCAAACACAGATGACAAACCTATGATAAACATCGAAGGGATAAATATAGAACACGTAGATGAATATAAATATCTGGGTCAAAATGTCAAGGTAAGCAAAGAAAATCAAACTACCGAAATAAGCGGACGTGCGAATTAAAGTGTTTAATTCCTGTATCTTACCTGTACTTACATATGGGGCCCAAACCTGGACATTCACTAAAATAAACATTAAGAAGATCAGAAAAACTCAGAGAGCTATGGAACGACAGATGCTGAGTATCTCACTCAAAGACCATAAAATCAATGAAGACATTTGTAATGACATGCGAGAGAAATTTTTTAATAAGCACTTCTTTCTTCCATTCTTATGTCATTTAGAAGTTCTATTGAACTTCTTCTTTTTAAAAAATTTGAAATCTAAAATCTACGATTTCATCTTTTTTTTATATTCTCGTTTTTTACTAACTCAGATATGATTATAAAATTAGTCGCACATATAACTTCTCTTGTCGGAGCCATTTGGTACAAAAAAGACAGAACGATGGCAAATGTTTGCAAATTTACTCAAATTCTTGAGTTATTGTTTTTGACAAACTATGCCAAATATGTGTTGGCAAACGTTAGCAAATGCTTGCTAATGTTTGTGTATAGATGTTTGTAAAGGTTTTTTGGTGAAAACGCACCTTGGTTTGTTCGAGAACAACCAGGTAGTAAACAAAACAGTTTGGACGTCTTAGAGTTCACTTGAACCATACACAGGTTATGTTCATTATTTACTTTAGTCTGAGGTTATATTTTACCGTGCTGTTTTTTATTGTTATTTAACTTCACATACTTCTGGTCCAATCCAGTATAAGTGGGCCAATCATACTTATTAACTCTTCAAAATCTGATGCACTCATACGGTTAGAATTATTAAATAGGCACTTATACTCCATTTATAGGGCGTGCATGATTACATCGTTTCAGAGAACGGTTTCCGAAGTGGAAATTGAAACGTCAATAAACGTATTTTAACCTTTAACTGTGGCTTATTCCCATTTAAAAAGTAATTACTTTAAAATGCCACAAGAAAATAGCTTCAGAACCATACTAAACAAATAATTGCTAGGGGGCGCTAAGTAATATTTTTCCTAAAAAGGGGGCGATAGGCCAAATTAGATTTGGTAATCACTGCAATAAGATATCAAGTTCAAGCAAAATATACAAATATCTAAATATGTTTTAAATATTTTAGGAAATGCAAGAGAAATTTGGAGAAAGACTCGACTTTTCAGCATACTTGTTGACACCAGTTCAAAGGCTTGGAAAGTACATTTTATTATTAGAGCAGATTGAAAAACAATTGAAGAAATTGGAATTGCCTGTAGATAGTACCCAAACTGCCTTAGCAATAGTGAGAGAAGAAATGTCAAAGGGTAACGATTCAGTGGCTATCGAGTCGATAGAAAACAGTCCTATAAGTAAGATGGATTACGGATCGTTTAAAATGAGGGAAATGTTCAGTATTACCAAGCCCCGAAAAGTAGAAGCCATGGTGTTCTTATTTTCCAATGTGTTGGTATTTACGACATGTGACCCTGTAAGTATTTATTTAAGCAGATATACAAATATTCCTTTTGTTTAATAATTTTTTCTGTGAACTATTTTTATATTTTAAAATGAACAATAAAATCAAATTTATAAACTATACAAATTGATTCTTTAATATTTTCTATTTCTTTCTTTTCATTGAGATGCTTATGCTAGACATTGAAATAAAAAGCGAAACAAAATCAAAATATCAAAAATTAACTCAAACGAGGAAATGTCCTTAATGTTAAAAAGTTAAAAATCCTCCAAAAATTTAAAATGTTTTCCTAAGCATAAAACAACAAAAAAATACCTCTTCGACAAACCAGGCAACCGATTCATTCGTGGCGGTGACTATAATGCCAACCATCAGAGTTGGGATTCTAGACTAGATCTATCTATAGCCCAAAATCTGTTCATGTGTTGAATATAGGCCTCTCCCATTTGTCTCAGTATATGGTCTCCAGCGGCCAATTGCTTTATTCCATCTTCCATCCTGATATCTTTCGTTATACACAGCCCATTTCCATTTTAATTTCAATGCATGTTCGACAGCGTCTGTTGTTTCGGTTTTGCATCTTATCCACTCGTTCCTCTTTTTATCTCTCAACGATATTCCCAACATTTGTCTTTCCATAGCTCTTTGAGTTTTCTTTATTCTATCTAAGTTGCTCTTGGTACACGTCCACGTCTGGGCACCATATGTCAGAACAGGTAGGACGCATGCATTAAATACCTTCGTTCTTAATTTTAAAGGTATTTTTTGGTTTTTGATAGTATATGAGAGTTTTCCGAATGCAGCCCACCCCATTCTTATTCTTCTGGTTATTTCTTTAGTCTGGTTACTTTTGTCTGCTCTGATAGCTTGTCCTAAGTAAATATATTCTTGGACGTGTTCTATGTTTGTTCCACCTATGGTAATTACTGATCTGTCTTCTGTATTAGTCATTATTTTAGTTTTCTTTAGATTCATTTTTAGTCCTTTCTCAAGAGATGTTTTTTCTAGGTCTGAAATCATTATTCGTAGTTGTTCCATAGTTGTTGCTATCAGGAGTACATCATCGGCGAATCTTAGATGATTTAAATATTTCCCGTTTATACAAATCCCTTTATTGTCCCAGTCTATAGATTTAAAAATGTCTTCCAACGCCAGAGTAAATAGTTTGGGTGAGATTGTATCCCCTTGTCTGACACCTCTACAAATTCTAATTAATGGAGTTTGCAAATCTCTGTCTAGCTGAATTCTCATAGTGGCGTTTTGATATATATTGTGGATTAACATTCTGTACGTGAATCTATTCGGCAATTAACTAGCGCTTCTTCCACTGCCCATAGTTCTATGCTGTCAAACGCTTTTTCATAGTCAACAAACGCTAGGTATATTGGAAGGTTGTATTCGTTGGTCTTTTCTATCAATATTTTAAGAGTGTGAAGGTGGTCGGTTGTGCTGTACCCTTTCTAAATCCTGCCTGCTCAACTGGTTGGTATGCATCAAATTTGTTGTTTAGTCTAGTTGTGATCACCTTAGTGAAAGTTTTATAGATTTGTGACAAGAGAGATATTGGTCTATAGTTAGCTAATTTTGATCTATTTCCTTTCTTATATATCAGAATTGTATTTGCCTTGTTCCACTCTTGCGGTATTTGTCCTTCAAACAAACATTTATTGAAAAGTATCTTTAGGTAGTCTTTTATCTTTTCCCCTCCTTCTTTTAACATTTCAATTAGAATTTCATCGTCTCCCGGAGCCTTATTTCTTTTCATATCTCTAATTGCTTTTTCTATTTCTTCTCCGGTTATGGGGGTAATATTTCAGAGTTTACATTCATTATTTTCTTTTTCAGGTTTTGTTGAGTTGTATCAGGTGGACTGTTTTTAGAGCTGTAGAGGTCACTATAATATTCCCTTGTTATCTTAGATATTTGGGTTCTGCTTTTTTCTATTACACCTTGTTTATTTTCCATCTCTATGATTTTATTTCTTCCTAGGTGGGACTTGATAGATCTTAAGTTTCTGTTTTCTTCTATAATCTTCTCGATTCGTTCTTCTTGATGCCGTTTGAGATCTTGTTTTATGTCTTCTTATTTCTGTATTAAGGGTTTTGTATTCAGTTGTATTTCTTTTATTTTCTTGTAGTAGGCTTCTCCGTTGTTGTAGCATGTCTAAAGATATGGCACTTAGTTTTGATTTTTGTCTGATTTTGCTGGTGCTACTTCTAAGCTAGTCTTTAGAAGTTCTTCAGTGATGGCTTTGTTTAGTTGATCTAGATTTAGGTCTGTTAGCTTTAGTTCTTCAGCTGTTCTTAATTTGTTTTGGTATTGTTCTTTATTCTCCTTTAATTTTTCTGGATGGACTTTTTTCTTAGAGTGCACATATTGTCTTCGATCTTTTTTGTGTTTAATACTTATTTTAGCGCGTATCATTCTGTGATCACTACCAGTAGAGATTGAGTTTATTACTGTGACGTCTTCGAAAATGTTCTTTTTGTTTATTAGTATGTAGTCAATTTCATTTTTAGACTAGACTAGATACACCCGAGAAAAAGAGCTATATAAAGCATAAACAACAATAATTTAGAAGTAGTAACAACACGAGAACCAACGTAAAGGCCAACCGACTTAAATTAAACCACCGATCGTCTAGACTTTGGCATAACTAAACTAATTAACCAAACACTATATGCTTGTTGTCATGTTATAAACTATCTTCCAATCATTCGCCAGTTACGAGTATTATAACACTAAATAAAAATATTCTTCACAAGAAAAACCATGTGTATTACATAACCGAAAAATAAATTGGAACATCTTTAAAAATTCAGTAGAGAATAGGACCAACGAAGAGATAGCACATGCTGTAGAACACCTTACTCAGTCATACAATAAGCTGCATATAGGAGAGAAAATAAATCAGAAAGGAAAACAAACAAAAAAGGATACAGTGGCTATCCTGAGTTTTCCTTTAAGTTTTCCTAACTAGATCGCCATAAACAAAAAAGCAGCTGAAAGGAGCTAAAAGAAATAATAGCAACGGAAAAGAATCTTTCTTCTTTTCTTCACATTTTGTCTTCACTTCCTCTCTAAACCATGGTGTTTTCTTTTTTGATATGTTAGTGTTCGTTACTTTCCTCTCTCCAAGTGATTATGTTGCTGCGTTAATTAGGTTATTTTTGAGTTTTTCCCAGCTTTCCTCGATGTTATCATTTTCTAATATTTCATTCCCATCGATCTTCTCTGATATTCTTTTCCTGTATAAGTATTTCGTGGACTCCGTATTTAGTCCTTCGACTTTGATTTTTGTTTGTGTTACCGCTCTCTTGGGCGAAAAGTATTTGATGATTATTCTTATTTTACATTATACTGGGCTATGGTCGCTACCTACATTTGCGGCATCTTACGTCTATTATTTTCAATGGATGTATATCCCTGTTCGTTATAACAACATAATCTATTATAGATCTTTGTCCACGGGTGTTATTAAATGTATATTTGTGTTGGTCTTTGTGGTTAAAAAAGTATTGTTTATTCATAGTTCGTTGACCAGGTCAAATGAAAAGACGTGAATCTCTTACTGTATACAAGAGAGATACCTCTAGGAATAATCAAAACGATCGAAAATATCTATATAAAATTTAATATAACTGCCAGAGAATTTAACATCTTAATTTTCCCAAAAAAGACAAAATGAAAAAGGAAAGCTCGAAACTGAAGTGGAAGATCAAGTAAATAGAGCAAACAAAGCCACAGGCTGCCTAAATGAAACAATATGGAGACATAAAAATATCGGGAAAGAAACGAAAGGCAGAATTTACAAAACAGTCATCAAACCAATAATGACATACGTGGCAGAAACAAGAGCTGATACAAAGAGGACAAAAAGGATGTTAGAAATAGTAGAGATGAAAACACGTTCTGAGGAAATTGAAAACCACAAGAAACTGGAAAGAAATAGAAGAGTATACGATCATATCAGCCCAATGACAACAAATAGAGTCGTAAAGACGGCAAGACACGGTTCACTAATAGGAAGACGATCAGTAGGAAGATCACGAAAACGATGGAACGACAACTTACTGGAGGTACATTGAAAAACAGACAGAGTTATGTCTTTATACAAAGAAGAAGAAGAAGAACGATAAGAATCTACAATTCAGTAAATATATAAAACAACTTAATTGATATGTAAAACAACTGAATAACAAACATTCTCTCTTTGTTGGTGTTGAATTATTCAAAACAACAATATTCGATTTTTTACCTTAAGTATGACCTTTGGTATTTTCACATTTACCAACCTTATTAGTCTAACAGAAATAAGTCTTGCATTGCTTCTTATAACTTGATTCATATTTCGATATTATATGCTGCTTTAAAATCTAAAAACAGATCGAAACAAAATTTTCTGGTTTTTTAAAGTATTTGGTTCAGAACGAATATCTAGTCTGTTGTTGATTGACTAAGTGTAAGTCCACTTCACCAGTGATATTCGCCCAGAATTTTAGTCTTAAATTTTCTTTTATTTTTCTTGGGAACACGCTTTTCATCTCTTTTAAGAGCGTAATAAGATTTAACAGTTGCTCATGTATACCTTTGCTGTAAAGCCAATGAGCATGTTCTTGTTTCTTGTGGCTTTTTCATATTCATAGTTGAACCAACAGGTCATTTTAAGCAACTCCTCCCTGCTTAGAATCTGATTTGCTAAATATTTTATTTTCATACATTCCATTATTGGTTTATTATGGACTTGCACTTCATTTTCCATGATGATTCCAAGATCATTGATCTGCTGTTAATATCTTTCCACATTCGCTCATCTATCAATGGGTGTGTCCTCTATCTCTTCTCCCTTACACTTTTCACACTAGCAGATAGTGGTTTGTGTCTGCACTAAAGTTACCAATATGTGCTTGGTAGCAATCTTCTTTACCAATCCTGGTATTTGGGTCACCAGTCACCATCAAGTTTGAGGGCACTTTGAGGGCATGTATCATATTCTTCTTCTTGTGGTGCCTATCCGTTATACATGTTGGCTACTAGCATGGCAATTCTAACCTTATTGACCGCAGCTCGATATAGTCTTGAAGTGCTCAAGAAAAACCACTTTTGTAAGTTGGAGCCAAAATATTCTTCTTCTTCCTGGTCCGCTCTTTCCGTAGAATAGTTTTTAAATAACAATCTGTATTTTGACTATTATCAATATATTTTTCATATCTTTAAAACCATATTTTTCTATTTAAAAGCTATTTTTTGTATGTACCACCCGTGGTACACGCCGGCTGTAGTGAACATTCTTCAAGAAAAAACGTCGTGTACCACCGGTGGACACAATGTGAAGTCGTAGGTGTCATAGTATTTTGTTGCATTTGTAACGGTTTTTTGCCTATTCCTAACATTTTTTTGCCTAACATTCCTACAATATTTGCATGGGATTACTTGAGGGGCTTTTGTATGAAGGAAGGACACTATATATTGATAATTATTATACTAGTGTAAATTTATGTAAAAAGCTTCTTTAGTGTAAAACATATGTTTGCGGAACTCTTAGATCTAACAAAAAAAATCTCAAAACTGTATGTCAAAAAAAAATTGAAGAGAGAGCAAATATATGGAAAACAAAATGATGAGGGCATAAGAGTTGAGAAATGGATGGACAAACTTCCTGTATTAATGATTAGTACAGTTCCCAGCCATACAGTAAACCTCCAACCGACAGGAAAAAAACAGACAAGCTGAAGATATTCTAAAACCACCTGAGGTTATTGTGTATAATAAGACAAAGAAAGTTGTGGACTGGTCCGATCAAATGTCTTCATATTATAACCCGTTAAGAAAAAACATTAAGTGGTACAAGAAGTGTTTCTCGAAATTTGTCTTGGCACATGCATAGTAAATACGTGGGTTCTTTTTAATAATTATGGTAATGATCCTAAAACAGGCAATATGTTATCTATTGGCGAAAAAATTATTGAAGGACTATTACAAAGTAAAGTTACAAAAGTCCTCGTGAACCAGATATTGTTTCAGTAAAAAAAACCAAAATTATCTTTGGTAAAGCCCAAGATATAAAAATATGAAGGTAGTGCTAGACAAACAAAAAGATGCTGCTTTTCATGTTATAAGAAAATTTAGGATACACAAGGATTAAAGCAGCCCGAACAAAAACAAAAAGAGTGTGTACATACTGCGATACATGTGAAAATAGACCAACTATAGGCCTTCCTTGCTTTAATGAAATTTACAAACCCACCTAGTTTTGTATAAGTTTAAATTATCTCTTTTTGTACAATATCTATGTTATACTACGATATTTTAATTTTAATAAACCATTTTTACTGCTGTTCTTTGGTTTTATTAGTGACCATATAAATTATGGTATGACAAAACGACGGCAAACCCATATACTTAAAACTATACTTTAAGTGTGTACGCAATATTACCAAGATATCAATTAACTGTAAGGTTTTAGAGAGTTAAGAAATAGAAAGGTACCGTGTACCACCGGTGGCCACAAGCGGTTGAATGAAAAGTTAGGCATGTACCACCGGTGGTACACGTCGTCGCGAACGTGTTAATAAGCAACACCAAAAAAATACAATTGTTATGAAAATTTTTAGTGAGAAATTAAACTTCGTTTAATATTTCTAGACTCGATTGGAAATTTTCTATTACTACGACCACATAAAAATGAATGATTTGAGGATAGCAACATTTAACGATTTTATTATACACCTAACGGATTATACGAAAAGCAAGAAGAAGCAAAACTCGAGCAAGTACACTTATATTCTTGAAGCGAAATCGGAAAAAATATGGAAAACTTGGAAAGAGATGATTGAGAAAATTTTGTGGGATCAACTTCGAAAAACCAAAGGTATGGTAGATATTATTTATAATAGTAATATGATAATTGTAAGATTCTATAACTTTGATGGGTTTGTGAACATTTTACTCTTATGTCAGTATTTTTATTGTTATATAAACCGTATATTATATGTTTGTTACGGATGTCCACAATTACATATTTTAATTCTTTTGGTGACGTTCTCAATAATTTTTCAGTTTAAATAATTATTTTATTCCTTGATATTCTTACAATTCTAGTTTTTGTCCTTAACTATTCGCAGAGCAACACGTGTTTTATTATAGGTTATTACCATTTTTTTATTAGAGTATATTAACGTCTATATGTTGAATTATCCACATGAAATTTTGGTAGTGTTAACCTTCAAAAGCATACTTTCAAAAGTGCATGTAATTCGGATTATTATTTAGCGAGTTACAGTCTATAAACAATGGATCCAAAGCAATTTGGTTTGTTATTTGATGGAATAAAATACGGTTTAAACTTAACAATGGCACAAAAAGTGTTATTAAGACTCTGCTCCATCGATTACAACTATAAAACAGAGGTTTGCAGAATTAAAATGCATTTCTACCACCAAATGAGTCAGTTATTTCCAAGGTCATCAAAAAAATACCGATAATTATTATACAAAACCTCAAAGTACAGTTGCAAGACACTTAAAGTTATCTTAGCGTAGCCTTTTTACTATTATGCACGTTTGGGTATGAGAAAGCTGTTTTCCAAATGTTTGCCGCATTTTCTCATACCACAGAAAAAACACCAACGAATTCATGAGTCTCGGTACTGTTTAGACATGTTTAATCGGAGTTTTTGCATCAATATGTCACAATGGACGAAACATGGACTTATGGCCTTACTCCGGAATCAAATCGGCAGTCATCTGAGTGGACAGTATCCAGGGAAAACCGCCCAAAGTTACCAAAGACACAAGAAACCACCGAAAAGGTCATGGCCTCTATATTTTGCGACCCGTAGGGAATTATTTTTATAGACTATTTGAAACAGACACAAACAATCAACAGCCGCTACTAAATTGGTTTATTGGAACATTTAAAAATCGAAATCGCAAAGAAAAGGTTTCATTTGTTGAAGAAAAAATGATCGTACCAGTTTCTTTCCACTTCATCTCATACTTTGTTTAACAACTTGGGTATCGTCAGATCCATTTGGTTTTCTTATCAGATGACGTAATGAATGTGTATTTAACGATACAGCTAATTAACCTGGAGTCTAAGCAATCGGAGGACAATTTTTTTCGCTCTAGGTATTCTTAATGTTGCTTCTTATCGGGGTTGATTACTACAGTATTACAGAGTATATCACATCAATTGCACAGTTGCTTCCGTTTTGATCGAGTAGAAATGGTTTAGTTATCGCAGGATATCATCATCAACGGGTTACAATGACCTTCTCCTCTTGTCGGTCATGTGCCAATATTTAATATTGTCTCACACCCATTTTCTCCAGATCATCTCTGACTGCATCTTTCCACCTTTTTTAGGCAGTCTTACAGTTCTTTTCTCATGTTGTCTTTCCCAAAACATATTGTTTATAAATGGGCAGTCTCGCCTGTTTTACCACATGTACGTCCTTTTGGCCTTATATATCTCACGGGATCTTTCTTTTCGAAGAATTTGTTGTTTTATGTACGCCTCCATTCGTTTGTCAAGCTATCTCTGCAAGGGTTTTTGCATTCCGACACAATTAATTTATTATTAAAGGATACGGTGTCCTATACTTCGCAGTATTGTTTTATTTGAAACGCAAAATTCTTCTTATTCTTCTTTCTCTTTGTAAGCAATTCTGCTTGTTCATTGGCGGATTAATACCTCTATGGAAGGTTGTCACTCCATCTTTTGCGCGGTCGTCCGATACTTCTTCTGCCGATTGGTGACTTATCTCTTGCTATTTTGACGACACGGGTCTCCTCCATTCTGCTTATGTGGTTATTCCATTCTTTTTTCTATTTGTGTCCATTCATTTATACACTGTACGTTACATTTTCTTCTAATGTCTTCACTTCTCTTTCGATCTCTCAGCGTATTTCCTGTAATTCTTCTCAGTACTCTCATCTCTGCCGTTTCCAGTAGCCTTTGCGTTGTGGCTGTGTCGGGTCTTGTTTCTGAGGCATATGTCATTATTGGTCTTACACTGGCTTTATAAATTCTTGATTTCATCTCAGTGTTAATGTGTCTGTTTAGCCATATAGTGTTATTAAGGCATCCTGCCAGTCTATTTGCTTTTTGTACTTGATCTCTCACTTCTTTGTCCAGGTCTCCATAGCTAGACAGTGTAATTCCAGGTATTTTATTTCCATTACTTGTTCAATACTGATGCCATCAATTTCTATTTTACATCTGGTTGGTTCTTTGCTGACTACTATTGTTTTAGTTTTCTGAGATGAGATTGTCATATTAAATTCTTTTGCTCTTATGTTAAATCTGTGGACCAGTCTTTGCAGACTATCTTCATCTTGGGCTATTAATATTGCGTCGTCTGCGTAACAGAGTATTTTGATTTCTTTGTTTCCAATTCTGTATCCTCTTCCTTTGTTAACGTTTTGATGATTTCATCCATGATCAAATTGAAAGGCATTTTGTTGGGTCGTTCTCCATTCTTCCGGTATTTTATTGTGTTTTATAATTTTATTAGTTAATGTTGTTAATTATTCTATCATTGCTGCTCCTTATTAGTTCAGTAACTCGTTTGGTATCACGTCTTTACCTGCTGCTTTTCTGTTCTTCAGGTTTTAAAGTATTTTCCGAACTTCCTATACATTCATATGAAGTTCTTCATTTGTGGTAATTTCTGGTGTCTTGTTCTTCCTCTAAATATAGCTTCTTTAGGTAGTCAATCCACGTATCCTTTTCGATGAGTTTTGGTTCTATTAGTTCCTTTACCTCCGGTCTTTGACTCTTACGTAGCACCATATTTCCTTTTGCAGACCGTAAAAACCAGGTTCCATTTATTTGGAAAAGCGTTCTCAGTGATATTTTTTATTTTTCTTACAAGTGCATGTGTTTCGTTTCTAATTTTCTTGTAATTATGGTATGCCTCTTGTGTTTTGGTTGACATGTATTTCAGGTAAGCTTTTTTCTTTTCTTTACATTTTTCCTTCACTTCTGTACAAAACCATGGAGTTCTTTCGCTTGGGAACGATTTATTTTTATTTATATTTCTTTCACCAAGAACTTCTTGGCGAGGCTAAGATATTAGACTTAATTTTTGCCCAGCTTTCTTCGACTCCATCACTTTCTGTGATATATGTTTTTCTGCTTTTTTCGGTTATTCTTTTTTGGAATAGGTATCTTGTGGAGTCATCCTGTAAGCTTTCGACTTTTATCTTTGTGGTGTATTCTGGTGTTTTGTTATCACATATATGTGTTTTCATTCGGATTTTGCACAATACCAATTTATGATTGCTTCCTATTTCTGCTGATGTTAGTGCTCTTACATCCAAGATTTGAGAGGGCTCTTAACTCTATCTATTGCAAAGAATATAGTCTATCATAGATCTTTGTCCTCTACTGTTTTAAAAGTGTATTTGTATTGTTCTTTGTGAGGAAAAAATGTATTATTAATACGTATCTCGTTTATGCTGCAGAGGTACGTCAGAAGGTCTCCGTTTTCAGTTCTGATATTTTCATTATATCGCTGTTTTATTCCTGGAACTATAATAATTGCCAAAAAGGTCGTGAAAAACATCCATAATGATTTTATATTCATCATTTGGGGCCTCGTTTATTACAGTCTAAAGGTGTTCGCAGAAGTTTTCCTTTGTGATGGTATCCCTGTTGTTCTCTGGTGCATAGATTGCTATCACATGCATTAGATATCCAGTTTAATTTTTGCACTTACTATTCCTTTAGATGTATATTTACATTCTTACAATCTAAAGGTGTTCGCAGAAGTTTTCCTTTGTGATAGTATCCCTGTTGTTCTCTGGTGCACAGATTGCTATCAAATTCATTAGATATCCAGTTAACTTTTGCACTTACTATTTTGTCAGAGGTATATTTACATTCTTATAGTCTAAAGGTGTTCGCAGAAGTTTTCCTTTGTGATAGTATTTTTGTTGTTCTCTAGTGCATAGATTGCTATCACATTCATTAGATATCCAGTTTAACTTTTGCACTTACTATTCCTTCAGAGGTATATTTACATTCTTACAGTCTAAAGGTGTTCGCACAAGTTTTCCTTTGTGATAGTATCCCTGTTGTTCTCTGGTGCATAGATTGCTTTCACATTCATTAGATATCCAGTTCAATTTTTGCACTTACTATTCCTTCAGAGGTATATTTACATTCTTGTACTTGGTGTACAAACTTTTTGTGTACTATCAGAGCGACTCCTTTTTTAGCTCTGGTTTTTTAAGCAACACCACTATAAATCATCAGATCGCAAAGTTCATGGTTAATATTTTAGATAAACAAGTTTCTAATAATAATCCTAAAGAAGTAAAAAAGCAAGAATAACATATTAATCATTGTAGTCTACTTCTTTCTACCTAGACTTTGAGATACTACTTGGTTTTGGTACTTTTTCGAAGTTCGCAGGGAGAGCTTTGTGCCAAACCCATTCGATTAATATCCATTTTAATCATATCAATAAAACGGTCAATTTCAATTGATCCATTTCAATATCTGACATGTCCTAGTTGGTTTCCATCCCACATAAATTTAGTCCCTTGAATTTTTGGATGTTCAGCTTCTTGCCCTGTAAAGTTTCCTCCATCGATTTCCACTATGGCAGTAATTGTCTTAGCTTTGTTTTCACCGTATACCCAGCAATGCTTTTTGTAGATATATCTCCTTTTCATCGTAATAAATGTACCTACTATTATTTTAAATTTAAATTTTTAGTAATCTTAATACGGTCAAAGATATGGTTTGCCTTTAGACGTTTATTGATTTATTTATATTATTTTTACAAATACCTTGGCTTAACAGAGCAACGGTCATTTTATATGATTTCTCTTAAGCTACTCCAGTAATGTAGACAACACTTTTTTAACAACATTTTATGTTTTATGTTTATTTTATGTTTTAGAAACGGTTATGTCCGACAAAATTTCCAAAACCATTAAAATACATGATAGGAACAGAACGAAATCAACAGGTAAGGGTCCCTGAGATGAAGATACTAATTAAACGGAAAATATAAAATAAGGTATAATATTTTCCGTTACAAACACCAACAAAATTTATGCCAATTAGATTTTAGTATAAAGTTTACAAACATAGACTGGATATTCTATTTTAACTATAAAATAAAAAATATTTAATAGATATATTTTTCATTATTTAATTATCCTATAAATTGGAGGAGAATTAGTCATTTTTGAACTTTTTGTGGATAATGATCCATAAAATTAGCCGAATACTTTTTGATAAATTTTATATTTGTTAAGATGTTTATAATATTCACGTCTATAGTGTTCAAATGTGTCCAGTTATCGTCAATGACGCCCAGTGAATATCTAAGCTAAAGTGAAAAAAACAGTTTCACAAAGAATATCGCTTATGATAGATATATATCCATAAAATAAAGACACGGGTTTATTTGTACCTTAAAAACATATATACCCTACTTCAGTATTAATCGTTACCTCACATCTATAATATAATACTTTTATAAGCCTTTTATACTTTTAATATTCTACTTTTAATAAAGCTATTAAGCCTTCTGATATCAGTTGCATAATACGCCCATTTTTCTTTGAAAATCAAAATAGTCATAAAATCACTTTATTTTAAAGCATGATTAAAACTTTTTTGTCGCTTTTGTGAAAAGACAGCCAACAGATACATATACATACCTTCTTTCAATGATAAGTACACAGCTCATACTATACGTGTGGTAATCTGTAGCAAAATTAGTCAGCTTACGCTCTTGCCTAAGGCTCGTTTACATCTGCCATTTATCTCTGTAAGTAAATGTTGAGTGTCAGACATAAATTTGCTTTCACATTTACATACTGAGAGAAATGTAACAAAAAAACACTAAAAAATTTGTTTTCAAACTTCCACAAAATTAATTTTAACTCTTATCACTACATCTGTTTCGGCATGGCGTATCGCCATGGTTTCGGCTGATTGCCTTTCTCAAGTGATCTATTTTTGGCTTGCGTTTACAATTTATAGTCTCTAATGAAATAGGTTGAGGAGGGGAGAACTGTTTGTCTCAAGTTGGTCATTCAGAATTATATCTGTGTTTTTTAATTTGTTGATTCTCCATAGATTCTAACAAAGATAGCTTAAGGCCTTTATTTTGAATGTGAAGAATTTTTAATTTGTCATTAAAAGAATGATTATGATCTAGAAGGTGAAGTGCGTATGTCGAATCTGTTTTTCTATTATTGAAAGCCCTTTTATGTTCTGTTATTCGTTTATTGAAGTTTCTACCAGTTTGACCGATGTAAGTTTTTGGGCAGTCGCCATATTGAAGTTTGTACACACCACTATGTAAGTATTTTTTATTTTGGCTCTTATTTTTAATATATTTGCCTAGGTTGTTATTTGAAAAGCTGGTGTTATTCCTTTCTTTTTTTGTGTTTGGCTATTTTTGTTGTTATTTTGCCTGTATATGTAATCGAGCAGAAGATATTGGGGACTGGTAATGGGTACTGGAAGTTTGAAAACAAAGTTTTCAGTGTTTTATTGTTACATAAAATGAATTTCCATCAAGTAACGGTCGAATCCATCAATTACTGAGAGAAATTATTAGGAATGTAATTAGACAGCACTTCTAGAAATTCCGACTCTGAGATAAATGTACGTCCATTTAAATATATACAGTCTACACAGATATTTATATTTTGTGGATACTTTACACTTATATCGTGTATAGGCTTTCCATGAAAAGTGTATATTTTATTTCGCTATAATGAACACATCACGAATGCACGAAGAGATTAACAGTTTCAAAACCAGAGGGCACAAAAAGCAGAGGACAACCACGAAGGGGATGGATAGATGATGTGAAAGAAGACCTACAGATTCTAAGGGTTAGAAGATGGAGGGAAGTTGCCAGGAATCCACAACGGATTTTCGAGCCACTTGTGATGATGATAATGCACACATCCATCCAACACAAAATCGCGGCATGTTTAGACATGAAAACCAAGAAAAAACGTTCAGGGTGGATTCGAGAGTGGATTTTGACAATCAGTTAATAACTGAACTCACTATTGAGGATTCAACAGAATTTTGAATTTTTTTAATAAAATAAAGCTTGCTAATTTCAATAGACTTGCTTGTAAAATTCTTCCCATAATATCAAAGCAAGATACCAAATTCAGAAAAGCAATAAGTGTAAAAGAACGACTGTAACTCCACTCTATACTAAATTATTTTGCCATTTCCTTATAAGCAATATGTTTTTTTAATCTGTCCTCATATGTCCAATTGTATTTGCAACATTTCATTATTCATAATTCTTTAGTGTTCATTGATACAATTAAATTACTCTTTTTGAATTATACAAACAATCTGAATTTTGATTCAATCGAAAAGAAGCAGTATTGAACGTTTTAGATCGTTTGTAGTGTGAAAGTTTAAATTTAGCGTTTTTTAAGCATATTTCAAATGTTGCCAAAATCAAAATAGAAATTCCATATTATAGATTTTGAAGATTAGTCTCTAACAATTGAAATTCTACAATCACCGGTCAATGGAAGTGATACATTTTATTGACCTCTTGAGAATTTAAAAAGGGCAAAAATCTTTAAAAAAACATTAATTTTGATAATGATGTCCAGAGTGGAAATTGAAACGTCAATAAACTTATTTTTAACTTCATTGTGGCTTATTCCCATTAAAATAGTAATTATTTTAAGATGACACAAGACAATAACTTCAGAACATTAATTAATTTATATATTTTTTGAGAAATTAACATCAATTTTTTTAAGTTGGACATTTGTAATAACCGGTGCAACTTGCGCAGTGGTCCAATTTGAAAGTTTCTTAATGAGAATCTTGTTTGCTTTTACCATATGTTCATCTGAATTAAAGATAAATGACTTTTTCTCAGATTTTTATTTCCGTGTCACAAGGGTATAGAAAATCTATAAAATCATCATCATCATCATCATCATTGGTGCTACAGCACTATAAAAGAGCCTCGACCTTCCCAAGTTTATTATACCAGTCAGTTCTATCCATTGCCGACTGTTGCCAGTTTGCTGCGCCTATTTTTCTAACATGCTCATCAACACCCTACTTCTACTTCCTTCTACTTTGGTCTACCCCTACTTCTACTTCCCACAGGTTGTGACATAAGGATTCTTTTAGATTGGTTGTTCTGCGGTTATCTTGCCAGATGTCCTGCCCATCTTAGTCTTCCTATTTTTATGAGAGATACTAAGTCTTTATCACCAAATATATATTTATATCTGTGACCTGTGATATATCTCATAGTTGTACCTCCTTCTCCAAACACCATTTTCACAGATGCCACCAAATATTCTTCTCATGATCCTTCGTTTAAATATAAGCAGGAGGTATTCATCTGCCTTGGAAATGGTCCATGTCTCTGATCCATACGTCAACTTTGGTTGTATAAGGGTTTTGTATACGGTTATTTTTGTTTTTTGGCTTAAGTTTCTGCTTCTCATATGTCTACTCAATTCAAAATAGCATTTGTTTGCTGGGATTATTCTTCACTTGATTTCTTCCGTCATGACGTTCTGCTTGGTGATCAGGGAGCCTAAGTATGTGAATTTGTCTACCACTTCAAAGGTAGAGTTATCAACAGTGAATTGGTGGCCGATGTTTCTGGCTCCATTATTGGGTGTTAATGCCATTATCTTAGTTTTCTCCTCATTTACTTGCATACCTATATTTTTTGAAGCATTTGACAAGGCGGTATACATTTCTTCTAGTTTGCGTGTTGTGCGGGCAACTAGGTCAACATCATCTGCATATACCAAAATTTGGGATGATTTATTAAAAATGTTTCGTCTGTTGTCTATTTGGGCATCCCTGACCGCATTTTCCAGAGCTATGTTAAAAAGGAGACACGCCAACGCATCTCCCTATCGCAGCCCAACATGCGTTTCAAATGCCTGTGATTGTTCGCCATGTATTTCGACTTTGCAAACAACTTTACGCATTGTAGCCTTAACCAATCTTATCAGTTTATCGGGGATGTGAAATTCATCCATGGACACTATCATAGGTCGATTTAAAATCTACGAAAAGATGGAATGTGTCGATATTGAATTCATTGGTTTTTTCCAGTATTTGCCTTAGCACAAAGATCTGGTCTGTTGTTGATCGACCAGGCCTAAAACCACTATAATATTCGCCAAGAAGCTCCTCTGAATATGCACTCATACGACTATATAAAATACTCGAAAAGATTTTGTATGCTGTATTAAGAAGGGTTATTCCCCTATAGTTTCTACATTCCAATTTATCACCCTTTTTGTGTAGCGGGCAAATAATCCCAATACACCACTCTTCCGGGATTTGTTCCTCATTCCAGGCTCTCAGTATGATTTTATATATATGGTTAGTAAGAGTAGCACCTCCACATTTAATAAGTTCCGCGGGTATACCATCACTTCCTGGAGATTTATTATTGTTTAGGTATTTTATTGCATCCTGCACTTCTTGAATTGATGGAGGCTCCAATGGTGTATTGTTGCTTGCTCCTGGGGTGGTTGATTTGGATCTTCTACTTCGATAGTAAGTAGTTCTTTATAGTGTTCCACCCACCTTTTCAATACTTCTTCTTTTGTATTGAGTATATGCCCCTCCTTATCCGACATAGTCCGATCCTTGGTTTAAATTCTTTTCTTGCATTATTCAGATTTTTATAGAATTTTCTTGTTTGATTTTCCTTTTTTAATGCCTCAAGTTCTTCCAATATTCTATTTTCATAAGTTCGCTTTTTTCTCCGATGGATGTACTTCTCTTCTCTTCTGAGATCTTTATATTTTTGTTCTTTTTCTCGGGTTCTTCTTTGCTGCATCAGTTTATATGCATTGTTCTTTCTTCTTGTAATGTCCTCGCACTCAGCATCGAACCACTCATTGCGTGGTGGTGCTCTTTGCGGCCCTAGAATGTTATTTGCTGCGTCTTTAATATAATTTTTACACATTTCCCATTGTTCACTAATTGTTAGATTCTCTTTAGTTATGTATTTAGTTTCGATATAGTTTTGAAACCTTTCTACCGTTTGCGGATTTTTGAGGAGTTCAATATTAAGGCGTCTTGTTTTGGTACTTCTCTCCTTCTTCGCATTTGAGATTCTAGCCCGAATTCTTGTGCCAACTAGAAAATGATCTGAATCAATATTGGCGCCTCGATAGGTGCGGACATCCATAAGGTTGGAGAAGTGTCTAGCATCTATGATCACATGATCAATTTGGTTCTTCGTTAATCCATCAGGCGAGGTCCAAGTCCCCATATGTATTTTTTTGTGTAGAAAACATGTGCTTCCTACGATCATGTTCTTTGAGGCTGCGAAGGTGACAGCTCGGTGTCCATTCGAATTAGTATTATTATGGAGACTATATTTACCAATGTGCGGTAGATATATTTCTTCCCTTCCGATTTTTGCGTTCAGATCACCGATTACTATTTTAATGTCATTTCTGGGACAATTGTCATATGTTCTTTCTAATTCATCATAGAAATTGTCTTTTTCTTCGTCTTCCTTGTCCTCTGTTGGGGCATGTACATTAATAAGGCTAATATTAAAAAACTTGCCCTGATCCTTAAGCAGCTCATTCGCGGATTTATCGGCTTAAAATCTATAACCAAGTGCTTGACTTTATTATTGACTATAAAGGCTCTCCCAAATTCATGTCTGGTTCTATGGCAACTATAATATATATTGTAGTTTGCTTTTTGGATTATGCCATAGCCTGTCCATCGTACTTCGTGTATTGCAGTAATATCAGCATTATATTGTGCTAATATGTCACACAGCTTGCGGATGTTTCCAGGTTCGTTAAATGTGCGAACGTTCAAGGTAAATACATTAAGATCATTATTTCCATTATTCAGGTCCTTATTTCGTTGCAAAGGTCGTTGTCGAGATTTCCGTCCGGCATTTTTAACTTTTGATTTCGTAACTATGGGGTTTTACTGGATTGGGTAGTTAACCCAACGCCAAACCCCCTTTTCGGAGGGCCATTTCACTCGCTCTCGTCAGTTCCCGACCCAACTTTCCAGCCGGGTTGGATACCGGATCTCCAGCTGGGTTGCTCGGTTAACAGGGGACACCAGCGTGAAGGTGAGAGTCGGATTTGAGCAGAAGAGGCTAGTTCGAGTAAACTGGAATCAACTCCATGTATTCGCATTCTACCCCTCTATTACCCCAATCTATAAAATCTCGTGTCGCAAAAAATGTTTTAGTTTACACTTCGTATTTTGTGCTAAGGTTTCTCTAGTTACTATATGGACAATTCTTAATTAAACACCCTGTATATCGTTGATATAAATGTTTCATTGTTTACATTAGTGAAGATTTATGTCTGACAAAAATTTCATGCAATAAGTGTAAGATCTAAACATACCTATTACAGTACGTACGAGCGGATGGGCATTATCCCGAAGTTAAGAATAATACATAAATACTTTTATTTATTTTAAATTGTTTTAATACAATGTTCCAATGCGAATTTTGTCACTTGATACACTTTATTTCACAAAGGTAGATTTTTAATTTTGTTTTGTACGTTTGTGAATGTAGACAAATGTATGTATCAAGCTTTTAATTATTTTATCCATCATTATATTGAATATAGATAAATAATTCATTTTTTAAGTAATAAATTCGCTATTTTTTATTTTAGGCTCGTCCGTATTCTACTGTGAATAAGAAAAGAGCTGTAAAATATCATAAAAACTTAAAGAAGTATTTGTATATACACCAATTTGAGATATATTTATTTATTTATAAAATTACACAATTGTGATAACTATATCAATATATATTTTAAAAATACGCCAATAATAAACAGGTAATTCGTTATCCGGATTACAAGTTTTTTGTTTTATTTCAACTCCTTGTGAAATCTAATAGCACAAATCTTATCGGTGAAATTATTGTAAGAAGATTAAAAACTCCAAGAATTAAAGGAAGCCTAAGAGAAATCTTCTGCTCCTCCAAATGAAGGTAAGTGTCCCCAAAATATTATTGTCGTATAACCTCTGAAATAGTACTTCAAGAAGAAATAGTACTTGACGACGTAGTACTACAAGATGAGACGTAGGAAAAAATGATTAGGTAAGATCAAAAAGTAACAAAAGGAAAATTATGAAGACACGATAAATGAAGATTCTGAATCTAGATCAATAAATAAACTGGACTAAAAGAATTGCACTTACTATATATAGCACGTACCTTCTTGTTTTGTGAAAAAAAGAGATTTAATCAAAATTAAAAAAAAAACATAGTACACCCTCGTAATATATTTTACCACAAAAAGTGATTCAAAATTATACATCTGTGAAAAAAGTTTTGTTAGTTGTTTGTATTAATTCTGCTGAATCAGCGGTATAATGTCCACAAAGATATTTTACTTATCTGTACAACAGTTTTTGTATTTCAAGACTTGATAGTCTGGTATTCTGGTAGTCTGATATTAATAGGTCTGAGGTTCTTGCTTCAAAGCAACTTTGCCAATAGCCGCTTTTGAGATCCACGCTGAAAAATCATTTCGATCCAACCATGGCACTACTATTAAATCTTCTGTAGTCGACACAGACCCTTGTGGAACCATCTTTCTTAGTTACGAACACCACTGGAGAAGACCATGGGCTACTTGGCTATAGAGGGTCGTATTGAGGGAGAACTTGTTTCAACCCCAAATCCACAACCTAATCGTCGATCTCGTTGTTTTTACTGTAGTAGACAAAAAAATAGGCCAACCAGATATACCTGTCAAAAATGACAAAAATGTGTATGCTTAGAATACGCAAAATGCATTGTCGTCTCTTCAGGAGGTGTAAGGGTACAAAAAATAAAAATTAAAAAAAAAACAAAATATTTTGTATTTCGTATTTTTATTTTGTTTAGAAATATTTTTTTATTTAAACGTGATTAAAATCGTTTTACCCAAACACACATCCTGAGTTAAACACGAGAGTCTTGTGTATGGCAACATCGTAGGAACGCAAAGTATATTTACCAACACTGTATTGCAAGCACTCCTGCCTCCAGTTCAGTTACTCCATCTCACGCAAGTTATGGAAGCCGGCCCTGTTCCAGTCATCCACCTAAGAATGCTGATCTAGGATTTGTGTTTTAATGAACTTTGCAATAAGATTAGTTTACATTTTTTATAATTACTTAGCTATCATTTTTACCATTGCGTTTTTAATTAGATATATTTTAGTCTGTTTATAAACTTCAAAGAAAGAACATTATAACTGTATATAAGAATTGTCCGTCTTTTTTCGTATTTTGTCATCAATTAATAAAGTATTTATTTTTTAAAAATAGTTTTGCCTAAGGAAAAACTATAAGTTAGTACAGATTTTCGGGAAAATCCATCGCGGAAAGTTCTTTGGGTTTCAACCCGCGAAAATCGAGAACCAATATCCCAGTTTTGCCAGTGAACTCCATCGAGGAAGACAGTGTGCAGTACCACAGCCACCTTTACTTCCAAGCCATGAAGTAAAAAAGGCAACACCGCATTCTATGACGTCGGTAGTCCGATAATCTGCTGTAAGGTCTACCAGAATATTAAACTAATTTGAATTTTAGGAAACTGATAATTTGAAAACTTCAATTCATTACAGAAATATTTTTAGGGAAATTAAATTAATAAAACCTTATATATACCTAGTAAATATATATAAAGTTTTATTATTATTTAGGTTATATTATCAATAAAATAATCACTAGAGTAAAATTTATTGCACTTAAAATACAGTGTCAAACAGTTAATCTTACAATCAAATACAGTCAAGAATCTCTAGAAATTTTAAAACACAAAAACTTAGTGTAACTATTATGATTAAAAAATTCATCCTAAGAAATCAGACACAATATAAATATGGTTCTAAATTAATCTAATTGAAAATTAAATATTTTACTATTTACTTATAACTTTTGTTGAATTTTCATACTTAGATATACAAAAGTAGCAATTTTAAATATGAATAGGTTTGTTGTCATATAGACCAAGTTAAAAGAGGTATACATGAAAAATGTGTTGAATGTAACATACCATATTTATAACTTGTATATCGATTTAAAATAGCCTATATTCTCAAAAGATTTTTGAATGTAATACTCAAATTTGTTATCACTTATCTAAAAAGCAGATCTAAATGAGAAAGTAAGTTCTCTAATTGTGACCATCTTGTTAATTTACTGTATTGTAAAATCCATTTCAAATCATTACCACTTAATCTATTCTTACCTACATTGACGATTACACTAAAATTACTGCTATTACACTACATATTACACAAATATTATCACACTTGTGTCCCAACTGATTAATGTTTAATACATAGAAATATACACAGTCACTTGTAATTTTACTTGTCCAGTTTTTCAATGGGATATTATTGTCTACGTCTAATTGACATAATTATGTTATCTCTTGTTCCCTCTTCTTATGCAAAAAGTTTCTTCTGTCTTCGGGATTCCTTCTTTTTTTAGTACGATGAACAGTTACATATGATGGTACTTCAGGAAATATATTAGGAACTGCATTGCCTTGTAATTTGGGAAATATTAACTTTTCAATGTGTACATTTCCATCTTTATCTTCTCATTGTTCAGTCCGCTGAATATCATCTTCATGAAAATGTTTGGCACATACTACGGAAGATTTGGTAATTGTACAGCCTTCTCTATGAATAGAGCATAACCCAGTATACCTTCTTTAGGGATCTTTGGGAAACAAAAACGTACTTTCTGCCTGTTTCGTTTTTAAAGTACTGGCATAATTGGTTTTGCAACCAGGTACACAACAATGCCAGAGCATCTGTAACATAAAAACAAAAGTATTATTATTGTTGTTTTTAGTTTACATATTTTGTAACAAGAAGCAAAAGTATTATTATTTTCAGTTTGTTTTGTAGGTTATATTTATACTTGCCTTTTAAATTGTCGTTAAAAATCTTCTAAAATTTCTAAATTTAATGAAATTTCACTTATATTAATATTTTCTAAGTGATGTAAACACAATTTATAAATAAAACATTCGAATAAAGTTAAAAAAACAATAAATTCAACAAACTTTACAAGCCTTCCTATATGAAATGTTAAACCAAAACAAACCAAAGTCGGACTACCACGCGTTGTTGCCAAATTTCTACTTCATGGCTTGGAAGTAAAGGTGGCTGTGGCAGTACGGATGTGGTAAGTAATGTTTGTTTATGTCAGACTGCTCTTCTGAAAACGAATCCTTTAGCGAAATCGATACTAACGAAGAGTTAGGCTTAATTAATAATTTTTGTAAATTAGAATTAAAAGATAAAATGGCAACACCTGTTCTAGATATGAAAACTTTCTCAATTATTCCAAATTTTGATGGAAATATTAATAAACCTCACAGATTTGTAAATGCAACTGAATCCATTTTAAATCATTATTTTGATAGGAATAATCTAGCCAGTTTTCAAAATGTTTTATTGTTAAATGGTATTCTTAATAAATTAGAAGGCAAAGCAGAAGAAATAGTAGCCATAAGCGGCGCTAAAACTTGGCCAGATATAAAAAATACTTTGATTTAGAATTTTGGTGATCATCGTGATGAAAATTGCTTGAATCAAGATTTAGTAAATATGAAACAGAAACCTAATGAATCTCCATATTTTTTTCATGAAAGACTTTTAACTTTATTAAATGCTAGTTGTAATTATATTAATTTACACTATATTAATCAGGAACGTGGATCTAAAAGAGCTTTCTTTATGAAGCAGGCTTTAAAATCATTTTTAGCTGGTCTTAGGGAGCCTTTAGGGTCCATTATTCGTGCAATGCGACCTGTTTCGTTAGAGCAAGCGATTCAGTTTATTAGAGAGGAGGATAATATTAAGTATTATCAGAAAAATCAAACTTTTAATCACAATAATTCTAATAATAATAATAATTTTATTCGAAAACCAACTAATCCACATGTCAATCATTTTCTGAGATATAACTCAGACAGTTGACTACCGATCTCAATTTCCCAGAGGTCCTGTACAACTTCCAAGACATCTAAATCCACCCCAAACCAAATATTTTACAAATTCTCAAGTTTTCGGTAAACCAAAAAATGTTTGGAAGCCCAATCCAAATAATAATCAGACTAAACCTACTCCTATGAGTATTTCTACACGAAATACAGCACCACACTTCCGACAAAATTATAATCATTTTAAAAGCACAGGTCAAAATCCAAATTTCTATCATGAAGAGTTATTTAACACAGAGGTAATACCTGAGAAGAAGATAATCAAAATTTTTATAATTCAGATGAATATTTTGACAACTATCAATATGTAAATGATGACGATTCTTAAAATTTTCACGAAACCGACCTGACCAACGAAACCTCTTGAAAGAACTTAACATCTCGTCTGATAAAAAAGAATTACCCTATCTCAAAATTTCTAATCCACCCATTATTTTATTGATTGATACTGATCGACTAAGTCCTTTTTGAAGCCTGAAATTGCCCAAAAATTCTATAAAAATAAAATATTTAGGGAACCTTTCACTGTATCGGCAGCATTTCAAACATCTACTCAACAAAATTGTGCAATGATCCCCATATTTGATGAATTTAATAAATCTGGTGATTTTAAATTCCACCTTTGCGCTTTCCATGATATCTTTTATGGCCTTTTAGGCATAGATACCTTAAAAATGTTACAAGCCCATTTAGATTTTGCAAATTCTAAATTAATTACACCCGAGACAACTTTGTCAATACATTATTTCGAAAGTAATCCACCTATTTTTAAAAGG